CGTAATATTGTTATTAGGACTTAGATTTATTTCCATGTATTATATTCTAGTTAGGTATCTTTTGTACTTATCTAGAATTGAAGTAGAAATCGACTAGGATTCTATTACCTAGTTAATCGATTTCTTAGGGCCCAAGTTAGGTTTAGGGTGGTGGATTTCGTGCCTATATAAGGCCCTCAACCTCATATGAGTCCCATGGAGCTTTAATAAGAAAAATCCCAGCATAAAGGCTTTGAAGGGTGCAGCCCGTGTTGCAGCCCCGTCGGCACATAAGGTGTGGCAACATAACAGGTTTCTTCTACCAGGCCATAAAGAAGATCGGCGTTTCGGGAGAAGTGCTTAAAATATCTCGGGAGAGGTCGATCCGCCGTTTGAAGCGAGTTCAACATTGGAGGAAGTCCAAGAGTGCGGAGGAGGAATTGCTTTGATTATCAACAAGTTCGAGTCGTGTGCAAGAACGGCGTATCACATAAAGAGGGAGTCTTTAGTGTTTTATTAAGTCCTATTAATGTAAACTTAAATTTGAACTAGTTTAGCAAGTCCTCGTGGATGTAGGGTACATTTATATCTGAACCACATTAAATTCTTGTGTTCTTTATTCTGCTTTTAGTAGGTTAGTTACTGTGACAACACAAGAATTCCGTTACCACACCTAATGTCGTAACACGTAGTCTGTCTCAACATATGAGTGGACTTTGATAGGCATTTAAATTCAACATATTCTTTGTTCAGTGTCACTTTATTGTAGCCTGAGTTCATGATTTTGTATTATTTTTCTTAAAACTTTTGGTAAGCTGCCATATATTATGAATGTTCATTGCGTATCTTCTTTAGTGACTGTCACTTTCTTGTACCTTGAGTTCATGACTTGGTTTTATTTACTTATAATCTTCGTAAACTGATATTAGTTTTTAATATTCTATTTGTTCAATTGCCATTGTATATTGAGATGTTAATGACTTGGTTTTGTTCTGTTTTATTTTAGTAAAATTTTAATAAGTTGAATGTTTATTGTGTTTCTTTTTCGTTAACTGTTACTTTCTTATAGCTTGAGTTTGTGATTTGTTTTTTTTTTTATTTTTTTTAAAATCTTAAGTAATCATAATGTCTATTCACTGTGTGATTTCTTTGTTGAACGTCACGTTCTTGTTAGTTTATTAAAACGTTAACCCCATACACATTCCATCAGAGTTTTAGGATTTTGGAAATAATTAAATATATATATATATATATATATATATATATATAT